TGCCCCGCCCCCATCCTGCCCTGCCTTTCTCTTCTAAAATAAATGGAAGTTGTAATGTTTTTTCCCCACGACCCACTGAATTGTCTTGCATACACACTAGGACACCTATATCCTGTATTTAGACCAAGATTAAAAATTAGAATAATTTCCCTCTAAAGACTCATTTATACTTAGGAACATGACACTAGCACAGTATAAGGACACATTTTACAGTAGAGCCGTCCAGCTTAGAGGTAGGCATGCTGGAGTGGTTTTCTTTCTGCAGAGGTGATCAGGCAAAGGCTGGAGAACCACACATCATGCATGTTGTGGGTAATATCCACGACTCTAATTGTGAGTTGGGCTAACCAACTTCTGATATTGCTGCTAAGAGTCTAACCCAGGAGCAGCTTGATGGAAGAGACGCATAGGGCGAGGCACGAGGGTGGGGCGCAGAGCTTCCCTGCCCTCTCTGGGCGACAGCCTCTCAGGATCTCCATGTGTTCACCAACCCAGAAGCTCCTCAAAGGATGAGTTTCTAAACTTTATAGGATGATAAGAAATCTCAACAGATGTGACTAGCTAAAAATAAAAGATAATGCACTTTAAAGATGATCTTAAATTTAAAAAGCAAATATCAGCTTTGTGCAGTGGAGTGTTATAACCAGTGAGATTTTCCCAAGGTGCTATTATGAGTAATTAGAACCTTTCCAGTACCCCACACAAATTCAGCTGTGTTCAACTCATTGTATTTCAGTGAGATTAGAAGACAAATACACAGGAAGAATCGGGCAAGATTGATCACTAAAGAATAATTATAGCAATGAAAAATCGGAAGCAACCTAAATGTCTACAATTAGGGGTTTGGTTATGTATCTCCCCCAGTAAAAATAGCTCCATGGAGGCAGAGAGTTTTGTGTATTTTGTTCCTTGCTATAACAGCACCTAGAATAGTGTCTAGTACATATTAGGTACTCAATATTTTTTGAGTTAGATACTCAATAAATATTTAATGAATAAATGACTTTTTAATTGTTTCATATAAGTAGCAGTCTCAAAACCGGTTCGAAAGCTCTTTGAAGGAGTATCACACGTTGCTTTTGTACGCCCCCCACCCCCGACCTCACCCTCCTCAGGGCAGAATGAAGCAAGGCAGGTGGGCACACTAGTGACCCGGTCACTGTTCGTCGCACTGGATTCCCCCTGCCTCTCAAACTGGGACTCTACCCAGACTGCTGAGATCGGGGTCCACTGTGCTGGGAATGTCCTGTCTTGATCTGGATGGCGGCTCCAGGACTAGATACATATGTAAAAACTCCCAAAGCTGAGTGCTTCAGATTAGTGCACCTCTGGTGCTAACGTGTGTGTGAATGATGCCTCAATAAAAAGGTTGAAAAAAAGTCTGTTCCATTCTTCGAGATCTCCAGAGGAAGTTAAACATGCTAAATGACACATTAAGATCAGGAGAGAGTTCTGTATGTTCTTCCTTATTAAGAATTTCTAATTTATTGAAATTTTTGTTTGGAATTTACAATGAAAGCAAAATCATTTTTATTTACTTTGTCTTTTGCAGAGGCAGCACTAGCAGAATTTCACAAAAAAATCAAAGAGGCTTTTGAAGTGTTTGACCATGAGTCGAATAATACAGTGGATGTCAGGTTTGAAAGTATTTTCTTTATTCTTATTCTAAATTACTAAGAGAACTCATCAAATAGGTAACGGCTCTTTTTTTTTTCCTTTTCACATCCCTTAGATTTATTATGCTACCTACAGTATTTATTTTCACGTTTCCTGTAAAAGGTCTTTTGGTAACTATCGCTTCAGATCAGTATTGTTTCTGAATCTCTATAGTCTGGGAAAAAATATATCTATATTTGCCTATTCCAACAAACTGTAAACTTTGTGAATCAGGTAAACTCTACTGTAGCTTTGGTGCTAGGTGCATAGTTGTCCTTCGGTAAACATTTGTTAAATGAATGAATAGAATTTTCTTTGAAAATAAACAGGTATGTATTATTAAACCATAAATGGGATATGACACAGAAAGATTAATAATGTTATTTTACTTGGGAAGTGTATGAAAAGTATATAAAACCAAAGAATATAAAAAGAAGAGAGGAAGACATGAATACCGGTAGGCCTAGAATGGAGGGCAGGAAACAAAGAATAGTTTGAGACGAGAGAAAAAAACGGGCCAAAGGCAGAGGAGACTTTTCCTGAGTGTGATAGAAGCTGTAGGCTCCATGCCACCATTCCTCTCCCCTTCCCCTGACCTCGGCTTTGCACGTCTTGAACGATTTCATTGGAATTTTATCACAGTATCTGGAGGGGCGTCTGGCACTGTGACTGCCAGGCAGCCAGTGGGTTCCGCATCACTATGTAAAACATCACGTGCTGCTTTCCTCCCGGCTCCCGGGACGACCCTGGGGTCTGAAGCGGACTTCCTGGGGTCCAGTCCTGGCTTTGTGACTGTGAGTAACTTATTTATTCCCTCTGCGCCTCAGTTTTCATATCGGCCTCGTAGGGTTGGTGTAAGTAGTTCTCACAGAGTGGTTGGGGGGGTCAATGAAGTCTAAACAATTTTCATAATAAATCAAAGACAGTATTTGCTATTTTCATTCTCTTTTTTTTTTTGTACAAATTTACATTGGAGTTTTTCAAAAGCTACACGATGTGTGATATTGCACCAGATCAAATGCAGGATCACATGGGAGAACCCAGCTGTCTTCTGTTAAGTCAGGCATGGAAGACATTTGCAAACAGTTAAAGCAGTGCCCTTCGTCTAATTGAAGTTTTTTTTTTGTTTTGGAAAATATAGTTTGCTTTCATGAAAATTTTGTTATTTTTGTAAACATATAATGTGTTTTTTAATTGTGATTTCTAAGTGAAGTAATAAATATTTTTAAATTTGATGCTTAATTTGTAATATGGTAACTATAGATATATGTAGCTCATATTAAGAAACTCTTTGAGGATCTCAGTAATTTTTCAGAGTGTAAAAGGAGTTCTGAGACCAGAAAATTTGAGAATGTTGTCAGTGGACATTTTTAAATCTCTTAGAACATTATTAGCCTGGAACAAATTAGCTTGGGATTTAAAGCTTAGAACCATATTAGGTGTTATTATTTCATTTATTTCTTGTAGTAAATATTTTAGACTCTATTTTTCCTCTATTAAATCTGGATTAGCAGTGTTATATTGTACATAAAGCTCTTGTAAGACCTTTTTCCTTATTTTATGTGTTCAGTTTTGATCTTTTAAGTTCTGAAATAGTTCATTTTCCTTGTTAAATGGTTTTCAAAAGTTAACACCTCGAAAAACATTGAGGCAAGTTTTCAAAATCATTATTTAGGGGAATTTTTATTTTGCCTCATATGAAACATAGCACATAATACATTTTGACTTAAATACATTTCCTGCTCTGTGTTCAGATTTCACTCAGTAAGACTGATTGAAAATTAGGTTTTGAATAGATAATTTATTCACCTGGGAGAAAATTCAAAAGGTACAAAGAATGTACGGTGATAGGGAGAGCTCTTCACCTCTAACTCCTGGCAACCCAGTTCCCTTTTCCAACGGCAAGGTTGTTCTAAGTTTCTCGAATTCTTCCAGAGATAGTCCATGCAAATGAGTGTGTGCTTGTGTGTAATTTTTATAAATATACATAACATAAAAATAAGATTTTAAGAAACTATTTAAAAGTTTAATGCCTGATTTGGTTTGGAAAATTACTTTATACACACTGGTTATGCAGTTAATTTCCTCTTTTTAGATTAAAACATTTTTTCAATTACAGTTGGCATATAACATCATATTAATTTCTGGTGTACAACATAGTGATTATACATTTATATAATTTATGAAGTGACCACCCTGGTATATTAAATACCCACTCGATACTATATGTAGTTATTATAATATTATTGACTATGTTCCCTATGCTGTACTTTACATCCCCTTGATGGCTTTTATAACTGACAATGTGTAGATCTTAATCCCTTCCCCTTTTTCACCAATATCCCCAACCCCACTCCTATCTGGCAACCATCAATTTGTTCTTTGTATCTATGAGATTATTTCCGTTTTGTTTGTTCATTTATTTTGTTTTTTAGAATTCACATAAAAATTAAATCAGATTTAATTTATTTGTCTTTCTATAAAATTTAACATCTTAACCATTTTTAAGTATACAGTTTACTGGCATTAAGTATATTCACATTACTGTCATCCATCTTCAGCACTTTTTCATCTTTCTAAACTGAAACTCTACACCCTTTAAAGAGTAACTCGCCATTCCTCCCTCCCCCCAACCCTTGGCAACCGCCATTCTGCTTTCTATGAGTCTGACTATTCTAGGTACCTCATATCAGTGGAATCATACAATATTTGTCCTTTTGTGTCTGGCTTATTTCACTTAGCATGCTTTCAGGGTTCATCCATGTTGTAGCATGTGTCAGAATTTCCTTCCTTTTTTTTAAGGCTGAATAGTATTCCACTGCATGTAGGCACCGCATTTTGTTCATCCTTCCATCTGTCCAGGGACATTTAAGTTGTTTCCGCTTTTTGGCTCTTTGGATAACATGCTGTGAACATTGGTGTACAAGTATCTGTTCAGGTCCCTGCTTTCACTTCTTTTGGGTCTATGCCCAGAAGTAGAATTGCTGACTCATGTAGCTCTGTGTTTAATTTTTTGAGAAACTACTGTACTGTTTTCTGCAGCAGCTGCATCATTTCACGCTCCTACCAGCAAAGCACGCGGTGCATTTCCCCTCCAGTTTCTCCACATTCTTTCCAACACTCGTTTTCTGATTTTTACTTTTTACGTATAACCATCCCAGTGGGTGTAAAATGGTATCTCTTAGTGGTTTTGATTTTTGTTCCCCTAACGACTATTGATGTTGAGCATATTTTCATGTACTTATTGGCCATTTGTACATTTTCTTTGACAAAATGACTAATCAAGTCCTTTGTCTATTTTTCAATTGGATTTTTTTTTGATGTTGAGTTGTAGGATGTGTGTGTATTTTTAACGTGAGAGACTGTATGTACCATTTTGTTTTTTCACTGGTCAATAGGTCTTTGTGATTATTCTTTATTAACACCTAAAGAGCTTCCTCATTTCATTGTATGAATGAACCTTCATATATTGAATTAATCTCACATCAATGGATATTTAGGTTTTTTCCAGACTTTTGCTACAATAGTTCATGTGGCAGAGAATATCTTAGTATGCATGTTATTTTGCAAAAATGAGAATTTTCCTCTAGTATAAATTTTTGGAAATATGTCGAAGTGCACGAAAGTTTTTGGTAGGTGTTGCTATCTTGACGTATATGCTTCACTTCATGTTATGAGCATGTCTATTTCCCTCTTCTCCATTAAACAAAATTAAATCCTCAAACTTTCAAAATTTTTACCAATCTGATATCTGAAAAACGGAAGCTCACTATTAATTTTTATTTCTCTAATTATGAAAAATATGGACACCTTTCCATATGTCTGAAAGCAATCTGTATTTCCTTTCATTTGCACTGGCAGTTCGTGACCTTTCCCCATTTTTTCCATTGAATTATTTATCTTTTTATATATTAAAGATCTTAGTTCGTGAAATGTATGCCATCTGTCTTTTTACTATTTTTACTTTCTGGCATTCAAAAAATTTAAAAAATAGTCCAATTACATACCTCTTGAGTATTGATTTAATTTTTGAAAACAAACAAAAGTCAGAGTAGTTTTAATAGATTAAACTTGAGTTATCCTGAGTAAAGCTAGTTTGGTAAAAAAAAATTTTAAAAACATATTCCACAAGGAATGCCTCTAAAGTGAAGAAGCTGTTTTTTTCCCCCCATGTAGCTCATAAATTTCATATGAAAGTCATTCAAATCTTATTCACCAAAAATCTAGTTTTCTGTAATCTATGTTTTTTATCTTTGGTGCTAACAGAATAAAAAAGTACATTAGAAGTCAGTAGAGTTCCTTGCTGGCTCTATCGTTAATTTTTTATGTGCCACCCTCTTTTTATGTCATTTCCTTATCTATAAAATTGGAATAATAATACCTGATCATTAAGAGTGTCAAATGAAAAAACATATGAATGAGGTCTTAAAAGTATATAATTTCAGATCAGCTTATATATTTTTAAATATTCCATTCTAATCAAGTCCAGAACAGATTGATACCCGAGACCTTGGTGAGCTAGACAATATAGGGTCCAATCCTGGAACAAAAGTGCTGGTCTTTCCCTTTCCCCAGCCACACCCATGTGTGCCAAAGTGACCCCGGCTATGAGTAATCCAGACTCTCGCGTGTGTACTCTGTACCTGCCTCATCTACAGGAGATTTCCCTGGACAGCTTCTTGCTGTTTTCTTAGTCTTGAGGCCAACGTTCCGTGGCCCAGCAGCTCTGGGTGTCCCTTTTCACTGCTTCCATCTCAGCTCAGCACGAGCCTCTGAGGCTCGCAACACCCAGTGTTCATCTCTTTCTCTGATAAGGAGACCTAAGTTTCTTAAGCGATAGGAAGGAACCTCAAGTATATTCTGTCGTGTCTAAAATTCAATAAGTTGTGGGTAATAAGAATCTTTTTTCAATGGAATAGAAATAACTCTTCCTAAGAGGGCCGAAGGTGCCATAAGTACTACTTCCGTTCTTCACATGTAA